AATTATTTCTACTTATTATCATGAATTTTAGGCGCGATAAATTTTATGCCCACGGGACCTCATTATCTTGAAAAATAATATTTTTCATAAAAATTGTGATATTTTATCTATGTTAGAAATTTTAAATGCTGTAAATTCTTAGAAAAATAAAATTATTTATTTTTCTTGTCTATTGTTAGAAAATTTTAGATACTGTAAAATTATTAAAAATAAATGTGATATTTCTGCTGTTAGTAAAATTGTGAGAATTCTTTCTACTGTTTTTTAATATTTAGACATTGTAAATTTCATGTGCAAATGACTGCCTTATTATTTGAAAACTGATATTTTTGCATTTGATTATAGCATTGTCTGTGAAATGTTCATCTGTCAATTGATATCCCATAAATTGTGATAATTCTGTATTCTTGAATTTCTATAAGAGTTTTTCTATATATATTAAATTGGCAATTATGCTAGAATGTCTTTACGAACTGCTACCTTTCTAAATTTGAGCCCAAAATATTTGATTGGTTATTTTTGAAATGTTATTAAAAGTGAATGTTATTAATGGTTTCAGTGAGATTCATATTAATGATTTCAGTGATATGTTGAGTACATGATATTGCTGCTTTCGAATGTTTAAAGAGATTTAGAAATACTTTAAGTATGCAAGTGGACTCATCCGATTCGCCGGTGAGGTATAAGTGGACCTATCCGGGACGCCGATAGGGATTAAGTGGACTCATCCAGTACGCCGGTGAGCTATAAGTGGACCTCCAGGGATTAAGTTGACCTATCTGGATTATGGTAAACATTTTTTTCAGGATAAATGCGGATTCATTTTGAGTGCTAGCTAAGATCAACCTTGGAAGATATTGTTGTTGTGCTAACTTTTTTTTGTTACCTTGTAAGAATTCGCCACAGTAAATTTGTCCTATCAAGAAATATATATATGTTTTGACTGTCACATCTCAAGAATATCAGTATTGTAAATTCTTGGGGTGTGACAAGCCGAGGCTCTAAACAATCAAATTTGAGCCTACCTCAAACATTTCACTAGAAGAGGTTGTTTTGATGCCCAAATATCCTCAAATTGATTATTTAGACATCAAAATGCATAGGCATGAAAAAAAAATGGATTTCAAGCTTTGGAAATAGGGAATTTTGTATCGCATTTTGTAACTGTCAATTTTCATGATTTTCAAGTTTTTATAGATCTATTGATCTACACTATGTTTGAAGCTTTAAACTTTATAAATAAAGATGAAAATATATTTAAAGGCTATCACAAAGATTTCAATTGTTGAAATCACATTTCTCGACACTATTTGAAGGTAGGCTCTAATTTGATGGTCTGCACCTTTTTTTATATGAGGCATTTTCGACCTTTATACCCTGGTTTTGTATATGAGACAATTTTTAATAAGCGTATTTTTTGTCATTAGGAGGGATGTGATATCATTCATATATAATGTGACATCACCTGCATGGAGCACACCAGTGACATTTAATGCTCCATATAGATGATGTCACATCCTATGTAGATGTTATATCCCTCCTAATAACTAAAAATACCCTTACTAAAAAAAAACTCAATGTACAAAATAATGGTATAGAAGAGTCTAAAATTTGTTGAGGACAATGATAAATTACGCCATAGTGTGAGTACCCTAGCATAACCCTTTAAATTTTTTACTTTTGTCTATCTGAGTGCCTAGTTTTTAACGTATGGACATGCGATGGTCTCATCCCCAAACTAACATATCACTTTTCCTAATTGTTAGAGTGATTATTTCATGCATTTGTTTGATTGTGTTTTAATGCTCAGATAATCCAAGTGAATTGGCCATCTAGAAACTCAAGTATGGATTGATAAATCGTTGATCTCAATCGGCGTATCAAAAAGATTATCCCGTGTGAGAGAATCGGTTAAAAAAGATATACAAAACAAAAATAAAATACGTGGGAACCAGTCATTCCAATGGGTCCAGATCACTTGGTTCCATAACAAAATCACCCAATTCATTGATGAAACTTGAAGATTCCAAATGAATTGGACCTATTCCCAGTTTCGACATGTACCGATTATCAATCCAGATTAGCTATTCCCATTTTGGATTGCCAATTTTTTAAGAAAAGATTAAACTTTTATTTAATAAAAGAAAACTATACAGAGAGACAATCTACTTTTTGTACAAGGAGGTCGAATGTGTTATGGTTTGTCATATTTTAAATCTGGCTAGTTGTAAGAGTGTCATTGACATGATTTAAAATTAAAAAAAAAAATTCTTGAACTTCAAACACATCTCGAGCTATCTAAGGACTAGACGTAATTGTGACACCCTTGTAACAAAGATAAATAGTCTCATAGTATACAGTCCCTTTAATTAGTGAAAACACATATAAATAAACTATTTATTTTTGGTACAAGGAGATCATAAACATTCTTGTCCATTAAATTTCAAATCGGGTGGTCATAAGAGTGTCATTGAGATGACTCAAAATTCAAAAAAAATATCCTAAACTTCATGATGCATCCAAAGCCATCTAATTTGACATTTAAAGACTATGAGTACATGTGACCTCTTTGTAACAAAGATAATCCCTTGACTAATTTATCTCATATTGTACAATCCCTTGATTGATTTACCTTATTCTATAGAGATCTTTTCAACATTTGGATCTATGAAAAAATTTTGTTTGAACAAACTATTTCCTGTGAAGTATATTTATTGCAAGAAATATTTTAGATAAAATAGATTTGTATTGTTTGGATGGCATCTAGATGCATCGTGGAAGATACATTTACAATGAAAAGGGGTTAAATACAATGAATCTCCGAAGAGGAAAACATACTACAGATAGCGAAAGAAGGAAATGGATAGAGCAAGATGGAAGTAGAAAGAGATTTCTAGGAGCATAGAGAAAAAGAGAGCGTAGAAAAAAAAGAATATAAAAATTATATATATATATATATAAAGAGAAAGAGAGTTGGGTTAGGGGAGAGGAGAGAGAGAGTGAAGGCGAGAGATGGGAAGAGGTTTCACTTTTCTATTTGGCCCCAACTTGCTATACACACATCTTTTCTTTGTTTTGGTTTGTCTTTATAAAAAAATCCTACGGGGAAATTGAT